CCAAATGAGTGCATATATGAGTGCTATTCAAGCCCTAGTTTTGTTTTCGAGCGTGGTGTGAAACAGTTATTCATGTAAAAAGGACAGCATTGATATTTCGAAACACTATAAGGTTCAACGAAGACAATGCTGAAATGCTGCGAGCGATTGGAAGAGGAGCATGAGGAGTGCAAAAGATGCTATTTCTGCAGCCCTAAGTTGAAGAATGTCTCGGGGTCTGCAGGGGAAGAAGGAGAGAGATTTAAAGATGGGGTAAGAAAATAAAAGTGACGTCTATGGCGAAGGACGTGCTGACCACCTTCTACAAATAGCTGTCCAGTGCCCTGAAGGAATTGAAGAACCCCCCTGAAAACCTGGGTGTTGCAAGGGGGAAAAGAAGAACAGGTTTTTCTGGGCAGCCCCAGGTAGCTGGAGAACGAATAAAAAACCATGGAGGACCACTCATGAAATGCTCTTGTTGATTCAGTGGTGACGAAGGTCACCAAATCGTTATACTTTATACAGCGAAGCCAGAGACAGGCGCCGGCATGTTTACAATCAACAATGTATTTAGCATACATTCACAGTATGCTTGTTCCGTATGAGATTCCTTGTCATATGTCTTCAGGTGACAAACATTAAAAAATACAGAAAAGCGCTTTAAGGTTTGTCCTAAGCCATACTCAAAAATGACAGCTATAACAAAAATAAAATGTACAAGGATGGGAATTGCTATCATTGCGTTGAATTAAACTGCAGTTAAAGCTCTTATGTCAAGCATTTCACTCGAAACTCACATGAGAAAATGAATGTACCTAAACGGTCCTTTTCGCGCAATGGTAATTAAGATTTTAGAATGTCATACCAGATATAATTTTTCTAATAATTCATTTTTGTTAGCTTCATGACAGAATGAATTGGCTTATAAAGAGAACAAAGTGTGTTGTGTCAATGAAGGCGTGTTTTCGTTGACATTGTAACCCATCTGCTGCAGCGCCTTCACATAAAAAATGTGATGTGCATGCGGATTTTGTTTTGTTTGTAATTTACTTTTTAGGCATCTCTTTCTAGGTGACATAATATTGTCACAATGCAGAAACAGCAGCAGTTGAATACAAGAAACTCACTTTAATTGTACCAGAACACTGGCAAACTTATCGGAAGAGAACCTCGTCTTTTTCTCTCGCTGCGCGTGTTCTCCGTTGTTCTCTTGGTGTTGCATATTCAAAGGGGCATTTGTCCCCCTCCAGAGAGCAGCACCCCGATGCTCTTCTACAAAAGACGGTGAAGTAGATGTATGGTGTAAATAAGTCTGAAAGTAGGGCTTCATTCGCACAACGTGCACAATTTCTGGTTTTTGTTGGCGAGTTGTCGAGGGGCTGTCAGGAACGACCACATAATTAACGTCACTCAGGCATTGTAAAACTGTGTAGGGGCCAAAATACTTCTTCAGCAATTTTTCAGACAGTCCCCGGCGGCAGATAAGACTCTGTGAGATAACATAACTTTAATGTTTCCACACAGAAGGTTCTACAATGACTGCCCCTGAATCGGGGCACACACACAGTTTTCTTGCTTATTTCGGGTGAGAGTGATTTATCGCTGGCGCCCGTGTTTGGTGGCATCCCCGCGACACGCAGGCGCAGAAGCGGCGCCGACCCGTTTCAGCACACCAACCCCCCCACGCAGATAGGAGCCTTCAGGGTTGAAGAGGTTTAGGGACCCGCACCTGGCGTCCAAGGCGGGTGGTGTAGGGTGTGAGCCTAGGCGTTACGTGCTGTTGTCGGCGAATTACGGGAGGCGTGCGGGGGTTGGTAGGCTCCTGGGAAAGTATGTATGATGGCTTTAGGCGGTCGATGAAAATGCGTACATCCTTTCCACTGATTTGCAGGGTGAATATTTTGTCGTCGCGACAGATGACTTTGTAAGGTCCGGAGTAAGGCGGCTGGAAAGATGCGCGTACGGTGTCGTCGCGGAGGAAGGCATGCGAGCGATGTTGCCAGGCCCTTAAACACGAACGGGGTTGGCATGGTTTGGCAAGCCGCTGGTGAGGGGCGCAGCGCGCCTATTGTGCGACAAAGCCGAACAACGAAGTCTGCAGGATCCGAGCTGGTTACATCAGAGGTCGGAGCGGAGAGGAGTTCTCCAGGTAGGCGTAGCGGCTCCCCGTAGACGAGTTCTGCGGGCGTGGCTTGAATGTCTGGCTTGAAAGTTGCGCGCAGACCGAGAGCGACGGCAGGGAGAGCTTCGAGCCAGGTTGAGTGAGGGTGGCACATGATGGCTGCTTTGAACTGCCAGTGAAACCGTTGAATCATCCCGTTGGCGCAAGGGTGGTAGCTAGCTGTCCGTGAACGCTCGAACCCGGTGGAGAGCCCGAGGAGCCTGAAGAGTTGAAATTCGAATTGCCTTCCTTGATCGGTGGTGACTGGACGAGGAGTGCCGAAGCATGAAACCAAGCCGGAGAAGGCTGATGCGACGTCTTCTGCGGTGATCCTTTCGAGCGGCCACACCTCGGGCCAACGAGTGTAACGATCGATGGCGGTGAGGCAATAGCTGTAAGGGCCGGCTGGTGGGAGGGGGCCAATGATGGCGATGTGGACGTGCTGGAACCGTTCTGTCGGGAGGGGGAATTCGCCGAGTGGCGACGTGACGTGCCGGGGGATTTTGGCGTGCTGGCATTGAATGCATGTGTGTGCCCAGGTGCGGCAGTCCCGTTGCATTGAGGGCCACACGTACCGGTCAGTCACGAGGCGTGTAGAAGCTCGGATGCCGGGATGACTGAGGTTGTGTAACTGGTTGAAGAGGCTTTGGCGATGCAAAGAAAAGACGTATGGTCTCACTCGTCCCGTTGATATATCACAGTAGAGAGCGTCCGTTGACCCAGGGATGGTAACTTTTTGAAGTTGAAGGGAAGAGCCATTCTTGAGGAATTGCTGGAGTTCGGTGTCTATTTTCTGAGCTTCCGCGAGGGCGTCGGTTGTAACGGTTGGTAGCTCGACAGCCGAGACGCGAGAGAGTGCGTCGGCGACCACGTTTTCCTTTCCGCTGATGTGGCGGATATCTGTGGTGAATTGAGCGATGAAGGACAGCTGGTTCTGCTAGACCAGTGGAAGTTTTTCACGGAATTGGGAGAAGGTGTAAGTGATAGGTTTATGGTCGGTGTATATGATGCAGTGCCGTGCCTCGAGGATGTGGCGAAAGTGTTGCACTGCTTCGTAGATGGCAAGGAGCTCTCTGTAGTAGGCTGGCCAGGTCGTCTCCGCAGGGGGCTAGGTTGCATCGCCGACGCTGACGGAAGGCGGGGGCGGCTTCGGGGAAGAGAGTTTCTTCGAGAAGAACGCCAAGGGGCGCCAGTTGTTGCCCACACGCTGCATGAGAGAGGCTCAGACGGCGGTGCTAGAGGCATCTGTGAAAAGACCCAAGGGCACCTCTGGCTTGGGAACGGAGAGCAGCGTAGCGTTGCGCAGGGCAGGTTTGCAGTCTTAAACGCTTGCGTTAAGGCTGGGGTCCAAGTGACAGGATGGTTGCTGCGTTGGCCGGCCAATGCATCATGGAGAGGGGCCTGATATGTGGCCGCTTTAGGCACGAAGCGCCTGTAAAAGTTGAACATGCCCAGGAAATGGCGGAGGTCCTTTGCTGTGGCAGGCAGCGCATAATTTTGCAGGGCCAGGATGCGGTCAGGCAAGGGTCTAGTTCCTTCTGAAGAGATTTCATGGCCAAGAAACGTGACGACAGGGGCGCTGAGCGTGCTCTTCTGAACATTTATGAGTAAACCGTATTCGTCGAGACGCTGGAACAGTTGACGAAGGTGTTGGCTATGTTCCGTTTCGTTGCGGAAGAAGCTCAAGATGTCGTCTAGGTAGACGAAACAGAAGTCCAGGCTGCGGACGTCGTCGTCGATGAAGCGTTGAATTTCGAATAGACCGTAAGGCGTGATAATTGTGGTCTTTTGGATGTCATCCGGGTTTACAGGAATCTGTGTGTAGGCTATTACGAGGTCTACCACTGAGAAGATAGTGCTGCCATCTAAGCGGTGTGCAAAGTCCTGTATATGATGGACGGGGTACCTATCGGGGACAGTGCGGGCGTTGAGGGCGCGATAATCTCCGCAGGGGCGCCAGCCATTGGTCTTCTTTGGTACCAGATGAAGCGGTGAGGCGTAAGGCCCCTCCAACCGGCAGGCAGTACCTTCGCGGAGCATGGCTTCGAATTCGGCCTTTGCGATTCGTAGGCGGTCCGGGAGTAGTAAGAATGTAGTGCATGGTTGAGTGGCGCACCTCTCGCGGACGCCCGCTAGGTCGAGTTAGGTCGGAAAATTCTGCGAGGATGTCATGGTATGGCGACTGGTTCCCAATGGTGAGTGCCTTGACGTTAGGCTATTGGGTGGTCGCATGTTGGCCCGGTGTGAAGAGGCCTGTTGTAGCGTCGATAAGTCGGTCATATCGGCAGTCAGGTAGAAGATTGTAGTACGCAAAGAAGTCGGACCCGATGATCGGCTTTGCGACGTCGGCGATGACGAAATTCCACGGAAAATCTCGACACAGGTTCTAGAAGTTGACGTTAAGGCGGAGCGGGCCGTAGGTCTTGATGGTCGAATGGTTTGCCGCACTGAGCTCAAAGGACGTGCAAGGACGCTTGTCACGTGGGAAGGTTTGGGGAAAGCAACAGATGTCGGAGCCACAGTCGATGAGGAACGGCCACTTTGTGATTTGGTCGGCGACGAATATGCGACGACCTCTAAGTTGGCAGCTCACCGTCGTCTCTACGGGCTGCCGTTGAATTTTCTGTGACGTCCAGCTGAGCAAGGTGGTTGACATTTCCGGGCTTTGTCCCCGAAGTGGCGATGGTTAAGTAGCAGGGGCTGTTATCATTTCCGTGCGGTGAAGCGGGGTTGTTGTCTTGGCTTTGGGAGCGTTTTTGTGGACGCAGCTTTGGGCTTTGATCCAGGCGCCTTTGAATTGAGTCCAGCTGACGGGTGATTTCGTCGACACGGCGCGTGAGCTCGCTGCTGGACGCTGCTGTTAGGTGTCAACGGCGTTGACGGTGAGAGGCGATGCTGGCAACAAAATCTCGACGACTTGATCAGCGATGTGAGAGAGCTGGTCCAGCGGCAGATTCGGCTGCACCTGCAGGATGGCCTGCGCATGTGAGGGTAGACGCTGAAGCCAGATGATATGGAGGAAGGAGTCGTCAACCGGGGTGCTGCCCAAGAGGTCACGCATGTAACGCAAGAGCTGCGATGGCTTGCGGTCACCGAGTTCTTCGTGCTGGAGTAGGCGACGCACCTTCTCGTCTTGTGAAGGTGAAAGCCGGCGGATCAGTTCCCTCTTCAGATGTAGGTAACGGTCATCAGCCGGGGTATTCGCAAGTATACCGCGAACCTCAGCCGCATAGTGAGAGTCTAGATGGGCGACGACGCAGTCATAGCACATCCGGTCCTTAATGATGCGGGCCGTGGAAAACTGCGCCTCGACTTGAGCGAACCACACGTCAGGCGCCTCTGCCCAAACGGCACGTTCAACGGCACGTTCTTCTGCTGTTCCTGCTACAGCCATCATACCTACTACTGTGCATACTCCTGCATAGGGTTCGATTGTGGGTAATATTGTCACAATACAGGAACAGCAGCAGTTAAATACAGGAAACTCACTTTAATTGTACCAGAACGCTGGCAAAACTGATCAGAAAAGAACCTAGTCTTCTTCTTTCGCTGCGCGTGTTCTTCATTGTTCTCTTGGTGCTGCATATTCAATGTGGCATTTGCCCCCCTCCAAAGAGCAGCGTCCCGATGCTCTTCTACAAAAGACGGTGTAGTAGATGTATGGTGTAAATCAGTCCGAAAAGTAGGGCTTCATTCGCACAACGTGCACGATTTCTGGTTTTTGCTGGCGAGTTGTCGAGGGGCTGTCAGGAACGACCATGTAATTACCGTCGCTCAGGCGTTGTAAAACTGTGTAGGGGCCAAAATACTTCTTTAGCAATTTTTCAGACAGTCCCCGGCGGCAGATAGGACTCCATACCCAGACTGTCGCCGGCCCGATAGACGACATGTCGGTGTCGCAGATTATAACGTTTGGCGTCGTAACTTTGCTGCTGGGCGATTCAGACGCGCGCAAGCTGCCTCGCTTCTTCTGCTCGTTGGGTAAAAGATGCAGCGTCCAAATCGATGTCATTGTAGTCGTGCAGTAACATGGCATCAAGCATCGTCGTCACTTCACGGCCATGAAGGAGACTGAACGGCGTTCTTCGTGTAGTTTCTTGCAGGGCTGTATTATAGGCGAACGTGATGTACGATAGAATGTCGTCCCAGTTCTTGTGATCCACGTCAACGTACATACTCAACATGTCAGCAATAGTCTTGTTGAGGCGTTCTGTTAAACCGTTGGTTTGTGGATGATAGGAAGTGGTTTTCCGATGGGCTGTTCCACTTAGCTCAAGCACTGTCTTCATGAGCGCGGCCGTGAAAGCGGCACCTCGATCCGTTATTATGATTGTCGGAGCACCATGCCTCGGGACGATACTTTCTACGAAAAATCGTGCGGTTTCAACGGCGGTGCCACATGACAAAGCCTTTGTTTCAGCGTAGCGCATAAGCTAATCAGTGGCAACTATTACCCACTTGTTGCCAGTATGGGAAGTCGGATATGGTCCAAGGAGATCCATTCCAATTTGGGCAAAAGGTACCGTGGGCACTTGTATTGGTTGTAATAGTCCAGCTGGTTTTAACGGTGGCGATTTTCGTCGTTGGCAATCGAGGCACGTGTGCACGTAATGCTTCACAATAGCTGGAAGTCTTGGCCAGTAGTATTTCTGTTGGATTCTGGCCAATGTGCGTGTGTATCCGAGATGACCAGACGTTGGCTCATTGTGGCAAGCATACAGTATCTCCTCATGGGTTGACGTCGGAACGACAAGTAGGCGGGTGCTTCCTCTGGGAGAAAAGTTCTTTTTATAGAGAACACCACTACGTAAGCAGAATGACAGCAGGCTCATTGCATATCTTCTAGGGACGGTTGTTGCCCGGCCATTCAAAAATTCAATAAGGGGAAGCAACTCGCTGTCTTCTTTCTGCTTGCACGAAATCGTAGTGGTGTCAACGACTCCTAAAAACGCCATGCTGTCATCTTCAGTGTCATCGTCGTGCTTTATCGGTGACCTTGATAAGCAATCGGCGTCGGCGTGCTGCTGTCTGGACTTATACACGACCATCATATCAAACTCTTGAAGGCATAAGCTCCACCGTGCGAGCCGACCAGACGGGTCTTTCAAGTTGGTCAGCCAGCAGAGGGAATGATGGTCGCTGACTACGTGGAAGGAACGACCATAGAGGTAGGGACGAAACTTCATAACCGCCCATACGACAGCAAGACACTCTTTTTCCGTTGTGGAGTAATTGGACTCGGCGTGAGAAAACGTCCTACTAGCATATGCGATCACACGCTCGGCGGAGTCTTTCCACTGGACGAGTACAGCGCCTAAACCCACGTTGCTGGCATCTGTGTGGACCATGGTAGGAGCATCCTCATTAAAGTGAGCAAGCACAGGCGGAGTCTGCAGGCATTGTCGGAGAACGTCAAATGCCACCTGTTGATCGTCGCCCCATGTGAACGAAACGTCTTCTCTTGTGAGCCGTGTTAATGGCGAGGCTATGTGGGAGAAATTGACAATAAACCTTCGGTAGTATGCGCATAGGCCAAGGAAACGCCTGACTGCTTTCTTGTCTTTTGGCACCGGAAATTTTCTGACGGCCTCAATCTTATCGGGATCAGGTCGAACACCTTTATGGCTCACCACATGGCCTAAAAATTGGAGCTCCTTCAGACCCAAATGACACTTCTCAGGTTTCAGTGTCAGGCCGGCAGACCTTATTGCCCTGAATACCGATAGCAGCCTGCTCAGGTGTTCCTCAAATGTTTTTGAAAAAACAATGACGTCGTCCAGATAGACCAGACATGTCTGCCACTTAAGGCCTGACAGAACAGTATCCATCAGTTTCTTAAATGTTGCAGGGGCTGAGCACAATCCGAACGGCAAGACTTTAAATTCATAAAGCCCGTCAGGCATTACAAAAGCCGTTTTTCTCTATCTCGCTCGTCGACCTCAATTTGCCAATACCCCCTTTTGAGGTCCATTGACAAGAAGTAGCGTGCATACCTCAGCCTGTCGAGTGAATCATCGATGCGCGGTAATGGGTATACGTCTTTCTTTGTCACACGGTTCAGCTTGTGGTAGTCAACACAAAATCGAAAGCTTCCGTCTTTTTTTTTTAACCAGCACTACCGGCGATGCCCAAGGGCTTCTTGACGGCTGGATGACGTCATCATCGAGCATTTTCTTCCCTTGTTCCTAAATTGCTTCATGCTCTTTCGGTGCTACGCGGTATGGGTTCTGTCGTATTGGCCTTGCTCCTCCGTTATTATCCGATGCTTCGTCAGTGGCGTTTGAGTGACCCTCGAGGTTGATGAAAAACAGTCTTTGAACTGCTGAAGATCTACTAGACGCTGTCTCTGCACTGGTGATGAATCCGTGCTTACGTCAATAGGTGGTGGGGCTGACGTGGCTTGCGGCTCGTCCTGTTGTACTACGCAACACTCGCGGATTTCGGTGATCTCGTCGAAGTAGGCAACTGTAGTGCCTTGTGTAATGTGTCGTCGCTCGTTGGTAAAATTGGTCAACAGATCTTTCGCTTCACCGCACACAACATTGACGATACTTTTGGCAATTGCAACACTGCGAGAGAGTAGAAGCATCAATACTTGTTCAGCGATTCCTTCTCCAGTATTCTGCTCGGTGCACGTGACTGAAACAAGGCGGCACGATAACGGAGGTACGGTCACATCATCAATGACTCGCAGGGATTTTTGGTGTAGCGCTGCGCTTTGATCTGCTGAAAAGGTCAGTACACCGTCCGGTATATTGATGATGGCACCATGTTGACGCCAGAGATCCATCCCTAAGATTGCCTGTTTGCAACACTCGGAAATAATAACGAAAGTTGTGACAAAGGATGCATCCCCTATCTTCATTCTTGCGGTGCACTTTCTGGTAGGTGTGAGTAGCTGCCCTCCAGCTCCTCTAATCTGCGGTCCTGTCCATTGTAACCTTCCTGAGCTTGTCTGCCAGACTCTCACTCATTATTGAGAAGTCCGTGCCAGTGTCGACCAATGCCATGACGTCATGTCCGTCAATTGTAATTGCAACTTCGGCAGTAACAACCCCATCTTTCATCGAATCATTGAAAATTTGTGTCTCTTTGCTCGGCAGTAGAGGGGAATTTTCAGCACTTGGACGATTCGCAAGCTTCCCCACTGAGGTCGCTGCTTTTAGTTTCCCCGGCGTGGACTGGGAGATCTCCGTCTTGGCATGTCAGTGGTGCTCTGTCTAGAGGATGGAGAACAACGACCAGAAGGTGAGCGCGACCAAAACCCAGAAGGAACATCCCGCGAGGTCATGACACTCATGTCGACGTCACGTGTTTCGTTGAAATGGCGCCGAGAAATGGTAGAAGGAAACCCTTGGTACCCTGCGACGTGATACGGGCAATACTGAACAATGTGGCCCGTTTCCCCACAATGAAAGCAGAGGGGCCTATGGTCAAGGATACGCCCGACGTCAGTTTTGCGAAGTGGCGGCCGCCTCGGCGTCGAAGTTTCTCTGTAGTACCAAAGCGCTGTCGGCGGATGTTGCTGGTGGTACTGATGCGGTGTCGGCACGTTCGCTGGCTGTCGGCGGACTATGTCTGAATAGCTTGCTCTTGAGGTGCTCGTGTTCCACTCAGGAAGCGAGAGCGCTTGCCTGATCTCCTGGCGCACAACTTTTGTTACTGAGGCGATCGCGCAGTCATTCGGTTTGGCGACGAGCTTCTTGACCTCCTCTTGTACGATTTCTCGTATTAGTTGATGCAAAGAACCTTCTTTGGGTGTCGTTGCTGTGGTCGTGGCTGCCACGCTGATCGGTGCACTGTGGGTTGGGCGGTCATACTGGCGATAACGTAGATGCAGTGCGCGTTTGATAGATGTCGCCTTCTTGGAGAATTCATCAACACTTGTAGGTGAGTTTGGCACGAGACCAGCGAAGAGCTGCTCCTTAACGCCCCGCATGAGGTAGCTAACCTTTTTGGCTTTGGGCATATTAGGATCTGCTCGACGAAATAGCCGCGCCATGTCCTCAACAAACATCGTAACGGATTCATTTGGTTTCTGAATCCGTGACTCGAGGAGACGCTGTGCGATTTCTCGTCTTTCAGTGCTTGCGAACGTGTCGAGGAACTTCTGCCGGAACTCGTCCCAAGACGACCACACGCGATTCATGAACCATGTTCGGGCTCCGTCTTGAAGCGGAAAATAAACGCAGCCCAATTTCTGTGTGGTGTCCCACCCGTTAACATTCGCTGTGTGCTCGAATTCCTCGAGCTAGTCATGTGCGTCCTCATATGCGTTTCCGTGGAAGTCAACCGGAAGTCGAGGGTTCAACGCAGTCACCTGTGTCGTGCTTGGGCTGGACATGTTGGGGCCAGTGCTTCCAGGCGCCGTCAAGCTTTCTGACGCAGTCACGC